CTGTGTGGTTTGAGTTTCTTCAAATTGTTACAAATCTCCAAAATATAATCTGCTATATGTAAGTGGACCCCTGCAATTGCATATAATCCCTTTGTCAGTTTTATACAACAATTATCTACAATTTATCTCTTCATATTCCATTTCCCAAATCCTGTAGAAATACTTCAGTTCTCTTGTGCCCTTTCCCAATCTAAAAACTTTTTATGAGTAAATATTTGTTACAAGTTCAAAGAAGACCTTTGTTATTTCTCTACCTGGAATATCCAAGAATCTAACTGATCTTCCACTTCACATGGTTACCAGAAAAATGGGGAAGCAGAGTTAGGGCTGTAGCTCAGTGGCAGAGCACTTGCCTAGCATGGGGAGGGCACTGGGTTCGATCTCCAGCCCCGCCTGCTACCCCCCCCACACACACACACACAAAGAGGAGGGGCAAAATGAAAAGGAAAGTTGGGGGAAAACAACATTGTCCAGTTGGGAATTTTCTGCCAACTATGCTCCTCATCCATCTATCTTTCTTTCCTTCCCTCCCTCCCTCCTCTCCCCATCCCCTCCCTCTGTACTAGGAATTTAAACTGAGACTCTACAACTGCCACCCCCAATCCACTATTCTGTTTTCTCAAATTAAATATCTTCCCCATCCATCAAAACTCATTTTAAATGCTCCTTAAAAACAAGATTCTCTGGGGTTGGGGATGTGGCTCAAGCAGTAGCGCGCTTGCCTAGCATGCGTGTGGCCCGGGTTCAATCCTCAACACCACATACAAACAAAGGTGTTGTGTCCGCCGAAAACTAAATAAATAAATATTTTTTAAAAAAAATAAAAACAAGATTCTGTTCTTTTCCTACTTTCACTCCATTAGAAATTCTCTTCCTTCACTATGACATTTAAAATATTGCATTATACACTGTGTATTGTTTTATCCTCTACCTGATCAAATTCTGTAAAGGAAAAGATTCACCCTGTTGAAATAATTTTTCCATAAGTAAGCAAAGTACTGTGCCTACATAGGTACTTCAAAAAGGAAAGGAAAAAACACAGAAAATATTGTTCAACTCCTTAGTTAAAAAACAAAGAACAAAAAAACTACAAAGTATCTGAGAAAAGATTACTTACACCGAGTAAAACTCTTATACCTATCATTCCCAATTGCAACTGTCAATTAGAACCACCTAGAGAGCTAATTTTTTACTCTAGATCCTACCTCAAATCTAGTGAACCAAACTATCTATACCAATAACCTACCATCTGTGGAGATAGTAGGGAAATTTTAAAAATTTTATGCAACAGTCTACAGTTACTTAAGGAATATTTTATACCAGTAGCTTGTCCATCTATAGAAAAGACACCTCCCAAAGATTAAAGAAAAAGAGCATCAGAACTTAAGTAGAGTTACTATTCCTCCAAAGTAGTTGATTTAGGTTTCATACACCCTATTTTTAGGACAATCACCTTAACCTTATATTTTTACTGTATTTCACATTAAAAAATTAATTTTACAGTCAAGAATAGCTTTCATGTTCTCAACCAAATCATCAAGTACATTTAAAAAAAATTTTTTTTAAGATTTAGTTATAGATGGACACAATGCCTTTATTATTTATTTTTATGTGGTGCTAAGGATTGAACCCAGGGCCTCACATGTGCTATAAGCACTCTACCACTGAGCTACAACCCCAGCTTCCTCAAATATAAATCTTGATCATCTCTCTAGGCTCTCTGTGTCTTAAGTCAAATTTACCATATCTTTTTTTTTTTTAAGGCGGTGCTGGGGATTAAACCCAGGGCGGCCTTGTACATCTAAAGCAAACATTCTGTACCAACTGAGCTATATCTCCAGCCCCCATATCTTATTAGCTTCAATAAAATGTCAGCATTTCAAGTGCTCTATATTCTTCAGTTAAGTATTAGCCAGGTAAGAAAAATAACAACTCAGCTTAAATTAGCTTTTTAAACACAGGGCTGTTATGTAGCGCAGTAGTAAAGTACTTGTTTCAGATGTACAATGCCCTGGGTTTGATCCCAGCACCAAAAAAGTCAAGACCAAAAAGTCAACCAAATACACACTCTTATCAATCTCTTATTGAGGCTTTAAATGGCCAGGCCATTAAAAAAAAAAAAAAAAAAAAAAGTTAGGATCTAGAGTTAGAAGCCTTTGAAGACAAATCAGAGTTTCATTAAACTAAGAATTCTGAGTAAGCTACTTCAAAGGAGGTAACAGTTACACATCCTGGGTATATGCATTAAGATCTATTACCAGCCAGATATAGTGGTACATGCCTATAATCCCAGGAGATCTAGAGGCTGAGGCAGGATGGTGAATTCAAAGCCAGCCTTAGCAACTTAGTGAGACCTGAATATTAAAAAGGGCTAGGGATGTGGCTTAATGGTTAAGTGCCCCTGGGTTCAATTCCTGATACAAAAAACAAAAAGAAAATTTGTAAACACTGTACATAAAAAAAAAAAAAAAAAGTAAGTCCACAGACTGGGAGAAAATAGTTGCCCATCACATATCTGAAAACAGAATATCCAGAGAACCCCTAAATCTCAAAAAGGGGGGGGGGGGGGGCTGGTGACCTAACTGCGTACCAGAATGCTTGCCTAACAAGTGTGAGGCCCAAAACCACAAAATTAAGTGACACACCTTCCTATCTTAATGAATGGCTTATTTCTGAAGTTAGGACTACACTACAGAAGAAAATAATACAGGAGCTCTTAATATCCCAATAAGCCCAACTGATTATTACCTCTTCAAAAACTTTTAAGTTTTCATTTAAAAAAATGTCCAAAACTCAAGTTGATGTACTTCACTAGAACAAATATTCTCAATAACATCAACAAAACAAAACTACCCTTATGAGGCATTTAGTTTATCTAAACCATTGATATCACATGTAATTAGTCCATGTATAAAGAAAATGCATGGGCTGGGGCTATAGCTCAGGGGTAGAGTGCCTGCCTCGCACGTGTGAGGCACTGGGTTCAATCCTCAACATCACATAAAATATATTGTGTCCAAGTACAACTAAAAATATATTTAAAAAAAAGAAAGAAAATGCATACAGAAATAAGCAAGTCAATACTTCAATTTAGAAAGGCCTGCAATTTTACATTAAAAAAAAAATGCAAGGTCTAGCCTGGACAACATATTAAGACCACCACCTCTTAAAAAAAAAAAAAAAAATCACCCATAAGACCACCAACTAACCTACTACTTAAAGGAACATGTCAACATACTTTTTGGAGGTACCCTATTTTCCTAAAAACCTCCAGCTTCTGGTAACTCATATTTATTTCCAAAGAGAAGAGCTGAAGAGCAAGTGAAGACAGGTAAACTATCTGTTAGGATTCCTACCCTAAGACTTCCATAAATCAATCCTTATTCCCATTTCTTAAAGGAAAAAAATATGAAGAGGACTTCCATTCATTTTATTGTCCTCCAATTTGAAAATAAGGAAAGATATGCAGACTAGGTAATTTGATTAAAAGGTCATATAAACAACTTTGTTATTCATCTCTGAGGCAATGATTTCTTTCAGCTCCCTGAAAGAATTGGCAATTACCTCGTCCCTACAATCTGATAGGCTAACCCTTTTCTTGGGAGTTCCAAGTCACTGTTTGAATAAGCCCATGTTAAAGATGGGAATGTGCAGTTCATATTAGGTATGCATACACAAATGGGGTGTGACTTTATTAGGGAGGGGGAGAAATGAGGCAGAAGGGGTAAGACTAAAATCCATTGTTGTATATATCACCATTATCTCATTACTTTAAAGTAATTATATCATTCAGCCAAATTTTTTTTAGTTGTCAAGACTTTATTTATATGGGGTGCTGAGAATTGAACCCAGTGCCTCATACACACTAGGCAAGTGTTCTACCACTGAGCCATAACGCCAGCCCATTCAGCCTATTTTTAAGATCAAAATCAGTGTTGGGTACCCACACCTGTAATCCTCAGGAGGCTGAGGCAGGAGGATCACAGGTTCAAAGCCAGCCTCAGCAACTTAGACTCTAAAAGAAAAAAAAAAAAAAAAGGAGAGGGGGGATGTTGCCCTGTAGTTAAGCGCCCCTGGGTTTAATCCTGGTAACAACAAAATTAAAGTCATATTATAAGAAAGTATTAGCATGGAATTTGAAAAATATCTGGGTTTTATTAAAAAATTAGGGACAGGGTCTTAATATGTTGCCTAGACTGGCCTCCAACTCCTGGGCTCAAGCAATCCTCTTGTCTCAGCCTCTCAAGTAGCTGGCACTGCAGATGCAAACCACTGCATCCACAACTGGTTCCCTTTTAACAGGCTTTGGAGCTATGACAAGTACAGATTCCCAAGCACCTGGTCTCTACGATGCTCATAAACAAATATGCTTGACATAGTAACTTCTCTAAATTCTTTCAGTTACCATTCAGCACCCATTATTCCTTGTTATAAGAAAAAATAGTCTGACATTCCATCTTCTTTGGACTCCTTGAAAAAACACTGTTCTTATTCATTTTAAGCAAATTAGAACTACTAAATGCTCACTAATAAAGCAGCACATGATACAAAAGCAAAAAAAGGGAGTATCTGCAAAATATACTCTACTGTAATATATAGCTAGTAAAAAGAAAAAAAAAAAGGAAATATCTGTGCAAAGGAAATAATTTTTTAAAACCCTTATGAAAACATAAGGTAATCCATTCCTTGAGGTAATCTGCCCTCCTCACCACCAATACACATACACCTCTGTAGTCTCTGAACTAGATAGGGTCAATTATACCTATTTATATAAAAAAAAATGCTTAAGTTGAAAAACTGAACATTTTTTCTAAACTTTAACCATACTACTTCCAAAGATCCTAAATTAAGACATTCTTGTCTTTGCTAGTTGCTTCTCCACTGTCATTCTCAACTAAGCTCTCCAGTGTCTTAAAGAATCACAGAATATTCAAAATTTACCACAAACAATATGCTAAATTGGCCAATAAGAATCTCTGTATAAGAAACAAATGAATTACCTTTAGTGTGATATACAATAGCAGCCCTCAGGTCAAAAGAACCCCAGCTATCATTCCTTTCTAGGCCTCTCTGGTATCTCTGTTCTTTGGCGGAGCCTAACAAAGTGTTCGTAGGAGAGGCCAGAGGATTTTGATTTTCTATCTCGTAGTCCTTTGAGAGAAACACTAAAGCACCTTGACTACTGGTGTCTGCTTTCTGCAGGTCACCTATATGACTGGGTTCCAAGGATAAGGCTCCACTCTCACTAACAGTCCCAGGTTTTAGAATGCTACCCAGAACTTGAGGACTAGTCCGTTTTTCCAGCTCATAAGCCTTGGGAAACACAGGATGCTCCGTTCCTGAGGGGATTATTTCAGCACCCTGTGAAACCAAAGTGGCAGGATATTCTCCTTGAAATGTCACCTCCATCACTTTATGATCTGATGACTTCCCAATAACAGTCTCAGGGCCAGCACTGGGCTCATTTATAAATGATAAACCCCACTGATTCTGGAAGATATCCCCCAGGTTTTGCTGATCTGTCTGAGAGGGCAGATCCACTTGTGCTGTGCTCAACAGCACAGTTTGCATATTTGAAGGATAGATAAAAAGGCTAGACTTAATTTGTTCAACAGCTGCTGAAGTTAAACTCATGTCTTGGAGTACTGAATCAGTTCCAGAAGAGACGGGTGTTAGAGTATTAGCAGCAGTAGTTAGCAGTGGCTGGCCCCCTGAAGGATACACACTTCCATCAGTCCCTGCTAAAACAGGCCCATTGGAAAAGTTGGCAGAAGTAACAGATTTCAGTGCTGACATAGGGACCTGGGATAACCGACTTGAAGACTGGGTCTGAGTTTCCCCAGCAGATGACGAAGAAGATGAAGATGAAGATGGTGAAACAGAAGAATTCTGTATAGTTTTGTTGAGGTTTTCCTTAACTTTGCTTGCATAACTTATTTTAGGAACTATTTTAGCACTGCTATTGTCCACTGGAAAAACTGGGGGTGGTTTAAATAGGGTCCATGAGTCCTCTTTGGAGGCAACAGCTGAGGCATGCTTTCCTTTGGGCCGATCATCAAACTTTTTGCTGCTCACACCAGGTTTAATATCTGAACTTTTACGAAGCATATCACCCATGGCAGGTTTTCCTCGAGTTGTTCCTCCAGGCCCAGTCTCATATTTCCAAATGGGCTTTGAACCATCTACTCGATTTCCCTTTTGTTCACTATAGTCAGGCTTGAAAGTTTCAAGTCCCTGCTTTAAAGTTGGGACGCTAGTCTCTTGTTGCATTATTTTGTCCTGCACTAAATTAAGGTTTTCACAACCCTTGGCACTATTGCGCCTAGCTTTCCTTTTTTTAGGAGTGGTATATCCACTCTCAGATCCACTACCATCATTATCTGCTCCTTTGCCCATATAACCATTAGTAATGTAGCCTGAATTATTTGTTACGACACCATTTGGAATTGCTACAGTATCGGTCTTATCTACACACTGGTTTTCTCCAGATTTGTTTTCGTAAGACTTCCCATTCTTTTTGTCCATACTGTTTTTCTGAATGAAATTCTTGGTTTTAATTCCTGCTTTCCCAAAGGTGCTGGCCTTTACAGTCTGCTTCAGGCTAGTGTCTACAACTTGCTGGTTGCCATTGAGGACCCTGGAAATAGGGTTGGTAGCTTCATCAGAACCCAGGCTCTTTAAAGATATTTCTCTTTCTCCAGCATTACCATTTATTTCACCATAGCCTAAGGGAGAGAAAAAAAAGACTTAAAAAAAATCACAACATTTAAATTACAGTGGTATCTAACACATAAGGACTATTTATTGTGCACTAGATACTATGCTTAGTTGTAAGTTTGTTATTACTTCATATCTCCCCGAAAAGACACTTGTAAGCTCCACTTTACAAATTAAAAAATGTAATCTACTGTTAAGCAGAGGCAGAAGTAAGCCATGCTTCAAACCAAAATCCACAGTATCTGAGAGAACATGACCACCTCTTAAGTATGCCACAACACCCCTCAATCTAAGAAATAACTTGCCCATCATCCTCACAAACCACTGTAAATTTTCCTTACAATTAAGAGTAGATCTACCCTCTGGGCAAAAACCAAGTTTTATTGATTTAATAACATTAAAAGGAAATTAGGGCTAGGAGTACCATACTTGAGCCCAGCAAAACAACGGGGTGGGGGAATAGGAAACAAGATTTCATTTCTATGAAATCCTGAGTGGTCAGTGGTCACCAAGTAGTATCCATTGCATCTATCAGAGAAGCTGTAACACTTATAAACTTTTTCTAATAGTCAAATTCATTTTGACATTAGATCATACAATACATTAAAAAAAAAACCAAAAACCTGTATACCAATGTTTCTAACTCTTCTAACCCATGTTTTCTTTATGTTTCATTTGGACAAACAAATTCTCACAGAGATGAAGTAACTTACCAGGTCACAAAGTGGCAGAACTGGAAATCTGAACTCCAGTCTGGAATCCACAGTTTCCTACCACTATGCAACACTGCCTACTCAAGAAATGAAATATTTACTAACAAAACTACAACCAAAGAAATCTAATTTTCAAGTGTTACGTTAATTAGATATTAGATATAATAATTAGATATAACGAAAGCCTTCAACCACCCAAAAGTTAACTCTATGACTATAGGTGATTCAATTGGGTTAACAACTTTTTCTACTCCCTTACCAGTATAATAGTGATATTAGTTATCTACCTTTCTTTGAAAAGTTTACAAAACATATCCTGGGGTCAAGTAAGCCATTAGAAACAGATATGCAGTAGAATACACACACATCCGTTTATGGAAGTTTTTCAGGGTGGAGATCCAGTATGAATATAAATTATTTGTTTTTAATTACTTTCATTCATGGTGTTAAAACCCCTGGCCTACCTATGAAAGCTGAAAAGTATGTGAATTTGTATAATATTTTTTTTCCTTCAAAATTTGTTTTAATTTCCTACATGGTAAATACCGATCAATATAAACCACATCAAAAACTCTTTGAGGCCCTCAGCTTTAAGAGAAATAATAATAAGGGGAAATGAAAATCTTTTGAGCCTGAGAACCATTATGTTTAAAACATGATATAGAACAGAACAGTTGGGAAAGATTCACAAAGAGTCCACTGAAACTTCAGAGAAAAAGGTGGAAATACTGAAAATGAATAAACATTGTCTTCTACTATATAAACTGCCAGAAAATGATTCAAGGTATCATCATTTTTAAAATAGTGGTATAAAATTTGTACCATAAGAATACATTTCATAAAAGTTCTTAACTTCTGCAGTATTACATTTCCATTATTTGGCTATCCTACAGCCAATCAAAAAATTTTGGTGGAAAACTTCTAAACTATATAACAAAAAGGAAGAGATCATTGTTTAGGATGTTTTCTAAAAGGTTTTCTTTAGGAAATCACAAAGTTCTAAAAGGATGTTTTTAACAGATAGAACTATACTCCTGTACAACTCTGGACCAAAGAAAAGAATGACCCACATCACTTACCATGCAAACAGGTTAAACAAATGGCCCATTAGTGATAACTTTTCAAATTCCAATTTATAATAAGCAGTCTTAAATACAAAAATAAAAAATTAAAATAAAATAAAATCCAATGTCCAAACTGCACTGAATGAAAGCAAAGATTCTAGTGAACTAAGTTTACTATCTAGGGACTTAAATATCAGAAAAATACCAGAAATCGCCAATAAAAAATAGCTTAGTCACTGTACTGAACCCCAAACTTCTTTACTTTTTCTGTGCTTGGGATACAACCCAGGGCCCCATATGTCAAGAGCTGTACTGAAGAGCTACATTCCCAGAAGTTTTAAGAACCAAAAGAAAGACAAAAAACTCATTTAACTACATAAAAAATTTTCCCATGGCAACTTTGTGGGTATTGTATAATAGTATGCCAGAGAGGCATTTTATTTTTAAAGCTTAGATCTTTAAGAAAAATGTAAACATTAAATTACTGAAAGAAATTAAAAGACTCCTGGTTTAGGGATGCCATGTGACCCCTACTTCAAATAAACTCAGCAAAACTAAATTCTGATACATCTAGTGTTTGGATTAGAAACTGAAATTACTCAACACATTTGGTCTTCTCTTGCGCCCTCTTCTGGATAAATAAAAATGATTCCTTTTTATAGGTTAGCGGGTAATGGGTCATAAAATCCCACCTCAAGATATTACTGATAATGTTTGAAAAATAACCTAATGTTTTCTTAGTTATTAGCATTGCACACTCTGAATCAACAGTACTGTGTGACTAGGCAGCACATTAATGCTCACCCAAAATTGTTCACATTCTCTCAAAATTGCTAAGCTGTTTCCCTTCTTATTCTTTATTCCAGGATACGACATTGAAGAATGCCACCTTGAACAGATCAGGGGCTGCTTCTACTGATAGAGAGGAGCTCTGCGTTAATAACCTGACTGGTAAAACCCAATTTAAAACCCACACAGTAATACTGCCTTACATATTCCAAGCAATGAGGTAATGAGGTAATACTTTTTCATCTTTTGAAAAATCTAATGTTAAAAAGATCCAGTATTATATAGTTCCTAACAATTTAAACTGCTCCACATTCTTAAACGTAACTCTTATAGACCTATGTGTTCTCTACTGAACACCTTAGGTTCACCACCCCCTAAAAATGGAAAATCTGATATGCCAATTTCAATCTTCAAGTTACAGCACATCTGCAACAGAAAAGCTGTTAGTTTTTCTCCAGCTCTCAATAATTGATGGTATTAAATTTGACATGCTGGATTTAACATGCGCTCTGCTCTCTAGCCTTCATATCTCAATTTATGAAGAACCCCATATTAAAAAAAATATGCTTGATTATAAACTTTAAAGCTTATTTCATCTCACCAAATGACTTTTTCCCTCAACGTTTGATAGTTTGGGAATCAATATCGGTTCTAAAATGCGAAAAACATCTTTCATGTTATCATGGAAAAAGACTCATCTGAGGCAAAATGGTAGTGGATCCAACCTCATGGAGGAGCCACTTCAGTTCACCCTTAAGGACAAGAAAGGGGTCAAAAAAACTGCCCGTCTTCCGTATCCAATCAAACATTTGTTTAATCCCTCCCCTTAAAGACACTGCCCCAGCCCAGAAGGTTAAATATTGGGTGGGGGAGATGGATGGAATACGGTTTGGGGGTTTTAACCCCCCTTTTGGTAGAAAATGAGCCGCTCGAAAGAAAAGGCCCAAGTGAAAGCCTCAGAGGCGGAGTCGTGAGCGAACCTGGCAGGAGACGAGGTTCCTGTGGCAGAGAAACTCGTGACCGGGGAGCTTGGTTCCCGCTGGGTACCCCACCCGGCCAGAGGCACCGCCTCAACCCAAAATGAATCCCCCGGCCCTCCTGCCCGAAGGATCTCCGCGGCCGCCGCCCGGGGCCTCCTTCCCCTCACTAGGCTCCTAGTCCGGCTCCCCGCCCAGACCGCCCGCGCCTCCCGCCGAACCCGGGAGCGGGAAACGCGGCCGCCGGCGCGCGGGGCTCGGCACAGGCCGCTCCCCTCGTGGCCGCTTCCCTCCCCCACCCCAACCGCCCCCGCCCCTCACCCCAGGGACCCGCCCGGGGCCGCGCGGCCGCCACCAGGTTACACAACCCGGCCGGCGCCGGGGGGAGGGGCGGCCTAGGGGCCGGGGGCGACGGCGCCCCCGAAGTGCTGGGGGATAGGCGATGGCCCGTGGGGTTCCCGGGTCGCTGGCTCCGCCACGCCGCGTGCCCCTCTACACCCTTTCCCCTCCGCTCCTCAGTGGGCCGGAGTCGGTGACAGGAATCGGCTTCCAACATGGCGGACAGGAAGCGGCCCCGCGAGGAGGAGAGAACATTCCAGCCGCGCCGGCTCTGGGGGGAGCGGGCCCGGGGCGCCGGCCTCGGGAGGAGCCGCGGGGCCGGACTGCGGGGTCCGGCACCCAAAAAGGGCATTTAGGAGTGGAAGTGACCCCAGAGACCAGGGGTCCCAGTCACCCCCCACGACGGGGGGAACCCCAAGGCCACAGGTGGGCTTGGGGTGGCGGGTGAGGACGCTTCCTTAACTCAGTCCACCTACCCACTCCTCGCCGCCAGCAACAGGGCCTCGCGACACCACCCGGGTCGGGATTCGCTAGGCCTTCCTGAGTTACACCTCCAGGGGATTTTTAGGGGGGTAGGTTCACCCCACTTCAGGACTCCCAAATTAAGGTAACTCAGGGCCACAGAAAGGTAAACGGGAAAGGAATAAGGCTGGATCACCAAGGCCGACCCTGCGGGTCTCCCTTCAGCCGGGGCGGGGGCCGGGAAGGTCACGCTGGCCTGGTTGGGCCTCTCCCATGCCTAAGAGAATGAGAGGGCGCTGCAAGCCCCTCCGCCCTGCCCGAGCTTCGGGAGAATGAAACGGGGCATCCCCAGACCCCGAGGAAACACACACACACCCCGACCCCGTCCGCGCTTTTCAGATCTAGCCCCACCCCCAACTCCCCGTCCCCCACCCCCAACCCCCTTCCCCCACTCGTCCTCCCTCCCAGACCTGTTTTCTTCTTCGGCGTTTCCTGGTGCTGCTGGAGGGTGTGTTTCTGCTCATGTTTCAGCGGCTTTGGCTGGGCCTTGGGGCTGCCCTCGGCTCCATGCTGCAGGTATTGGTGAGGCTGCTGGTGATGGTGGTGGTGGTGATGGTTGTGGCTGTGGTTGTAGAAATAATAATGGTGGTGGTGGTGCGGCTGCTGCTGCTGCTGCTGCTGAGGATGATGGTGCGGATGGTGGTGGCTGTGATGGTGCTGAGGCTGTGGCTGGCCGGGCTTCTCCTCCATTGAAAGCGGCTGGGACTCCCTGGCTGAGGCTGCGGGCTGCTGCACCGTCAGGATCTGAGGCTGCTTCTCAGAGCTCGCTCAGTATATCTGAGCGCGTCTCGCCAGCGCACTGGTTAACCGAGCGATTCTGCGAGATTGGCAGCCGCGCTCCAGCAATCAGGAGCCACGCTGTGCCGCAGGCCCCGCCCCTAGCCCAAATCCTCTTTCCTTCCCCTTAGCCACTGCCTCCTGGCCAACGCCACTTACCCTGTGCAACCTCACAGGGCCGGGCCTTCAACGTCAGCACTATGGCTCTCTCTTCTGTCGCTTTCTCTCCTTCACCACGCAGTCTGCGAACAGCACTTTCTACACTCTCGCCGGCAAGCAAGCTCCTGTCGAGTGTAGCAGATTCCACTGGCGCTGGGAGCCATCTGTTGGTTTTGCACCTCCTAGAATCTGTTGGCTTTCTTTTTTTTTAAATCCTTTTCCGGGTAACCAGAGGGGAAGCTTAGTTCCCTTAACCCTGAGACCACTAAAGGGGCAATACAAAAAAAGGAAATAAATACATTTTTAAGAATACAAGAGCTTCACAATTCAGTAGATCATTTTGTATTCTGGATTCATTTTGCTTTGTATTCATATGCTAATCTCTTCCTTTCCACGAAGGGATTATAGGGTTCCACAATGGGGTATCTGTGTAATTTTCTAAAAGGGCACAAAGGGTTTAAATCATTGTTTCTTTGTAGTTGGAGGCAAGGGAGAAAGAGAAGAATGAAAATCTACACTAAAGATTTTTTTTTTTAATTAAACTCTGCAGGTGAGGTCAACTGTGGAACCAAAATAGGTCTTAGAAGAGTTTCAAGAGTAAAGGAGAGAAAGAGTGCTTTAAAGTTTTTAAGGTTCTTTTTGTTTTTGTTTTTGCATTTATAGAAAATATTTAAATTAATTTAAATATTTTAAATTAAAGAAATACTTTTGTTCCGTTTTGTACCCTTGATCTAACTTAAGCTGCATTATCACATAACAGTCTTGATTTTTAAAAGTCAATGTTAAGAGTCATGGTAGTGTTTATTCAGGAAGAAAGAGGTTTGATGAGGGACACTGGTATTCTCGGATAATATATTATTTCTTGAGCTAGGTGGGATTACACATATATTTGCTTTGTAATTATTTTTTTAAAGTGAGCATACATATATAATTCACTTTTCTCAGTGTATGTAATATTGGGAACTTTTTAAAATTATGGTAAAAATATACATAACAAAATTTACCATCTTAACCATTTTTAAGTATGCAGTTCAGGGACATTAAATACATTCACATTGTTGTACAACCATTACGTCCATTTCCAGAACTTTTTCATCTTATAAAACAGAAATATCCATTAATGCCATACCCTTTAAACAATAAGTCTGCATGGCATGGTGACACACTCCTGTAATCCCAGCTACTCTGGAGGTTGAGGCTGGAGAATTGCAAATTCAAGATGAGCCCAGGGCAGTGGCCCAAACCTATAATTCCAGCTGCTGGGGAGGCTGAGGCAGGAGGATTGCAAGTTCAATTTAGCCAGGCCCTAAGCGATTCAGAGATTTAAAAAAAAAAAAAAAAGGGGTGGGGTGGGGTGGGGGCTAGGGATATGGCTCAATGGTTTAGTGCCCCTGGTTCAATTCTGGTAACAACAACAATGACAACAACAACGAAAATTCTAGGCAATTTAGTGAGACCCTGTCTCAAAACAAGGTAAAAATGAGGCTGGGTATAACTCAATGGTAGAACTTGCCTAGCTGCCTAAGGCCCTGGGTTTAATCCCCAGCACCTCCAAAAATAAAATTAAAAAAAAAAAAAAATGGTACTTGCCTAGCATATACTAGACCCTGGGTTCAATCCCCAGTACTGCAAAAAAATAATAATTAATTATTTTGTTCTTAAATATTTATTTTTTAATTGTAGTTTAGGACACAATACCTTTATTTTATTTATTTTTTTTTATGTGATGATAAGGATCAAACCCAGGGCCTTGCACGTGCTAGGCAAGCACTCTACTGCTGAGCCACAACCCCAGCCCAATAATAATGAATTAATTAAACCAATAATTTCCCTTGCCTTCCTCCCCCATCCTCTGTTTTCAGCCTGTATGAATTCAACTTCTCTAGGTACCTCACATAAGTGGAATTACAGTATGTCTTTTTATGACTGGTCTATTTCATTTATTATAATGTCTTCAAGGTTCATTCATGTAACATATATAAGAATTTCTTTCTTTCTTTCTTTTTTTTTTTTTTTGGTACCAGGTATTGAATCCAGGGGCACTTAACCACTGAGCAACATCCCCAGCCCCTTTGGTATTTTATTTAGAGACAGGGCCTCACTGAATTGCTTAGGGCCTCTCTTTTGCTGAGGCTGGCTTTGAACTCCAGATCCTCCTGCCTCAGTCTCCAGAGCAGCTGGGATTACAGGCATGCACTGCTGTGCCTGGACCATCTTTTCCTTATTTGGCAATGAATTATTCCATAATGTATGTTATATTTCATAGTTTTTTAAAATTTTAAACTCAATGACTTAAGTTCCTACAAAGAAGCTTAAAAGCAAAAACTTGTGCTCTGAAATTAATGAATGTCAACATAAAAGAGTATTTAAACCGGGCTTGGTAGCACACATCTGTAATCCCAGTAATTTGGGAGGCTGAGGCAGGTGAATGGAAAATTTGAAGCTAGCCTTAGCAATTTAGTGAGACCTTGTCTCAAAATAAAAAATAAAAAGGCTGGGGATGTAGCTCAGTGGTAGAGTGCTCCTGAATTGAATCCCCAGTATTTAAACAAAACCAGACCTTGATTTGTTCCTTACAGTGAAGATTTACATTGCATTGCTAGATTTTAAAGACATATCCCTCTACCCAATTTTGAGAGCTAAAACTCCAATGTTATCATGATAAATAAGTCTTTGCTATATAATAGTATTTCAACACTTTCCCATTAAAGAAGAAATTTAAATATATATAGAATTTAGGATTATGCTGATATATGTATCTTATTTATTTATTTATTTATTTTTTACTGACAGACATTTAGTTAGATGGCTAGAATTCCTGAGTTCTAACTTCTTTGTCTACATTTCCTACATTATAGTTGTAGGCAAACCAAAAACACTTAGAGTTTCTGATTTATCACACCCTTGCCTTCCTGTTTCCTGCTCTAGTCTCTATGAATGCTGTCTTAATAATATGTAATAGTGTGCAGAAGCTCTTGTGATATAATCTAAGAAAAATTGCAGAATATTAAATTATATATTCTGGAGTCATAATTTTGAAAAGCACAAATTTTTGAAATAAGAATAGATATACAGCAATAAAACATGTGCCCCTTTTTTTGTACTTGATTTTCTGAAAGTTTTGTGTAAAATATATTTGAGATTTGCCATGCATTAGAAATACTCCATTATAAAATGCTATATTTGCAAACCTCCCTCCCTGAAAAAAAAAATGGGTCTTCTTATTTCAAGCATATTTTTATAAAACAGAACCTGCATTAGGGAAAAAGTACAAGAAGGAAATACAGCATAAGTCTAGTGAAACTATAGGTGCTTTTATTCTGTTTTCACTATTTTCCATATATTCTATAATAGAGTTATTACTTTTCATAATAATTTTTTTTTCCATTTTTCAGTGCTGGGGATCAAACCTATGGCTGTGTATGCTAAGCAAGCACTCTGCCACTGAACTATATCTCAAGTCCTAAAAACATTATTTTTTAAACTGAAATTAATTTTATTTTTAATTTTTGTTTTATTTATTCATTTATTTATTGAAACAGGGTCTTACTATGTGTTCAGGTTGGTCTTGAACTCCTGGACTCAAGTGATCCTCCTAAGTAGTTGAGACTATAAGCACAAGTCACTGTGCCTGGCTAATTTTAATAATTTTAATCTGTATATTCCTTGAAATTCACTTTACACAGTATTTTACTTATAGTCAATGAGGGAAATTATAATGGAGAAACAGAAGTTTCCCATATGTGTTAGCTTAATATTTTAACTATCAATAAAATCATAATACTCCATATTTACTGGGTATTTATGTCAGGAAATGTAACAAGTATTTATTTATTTTCATTTCTAATTTGAAATAAATATTAAGCCCATTCTACAGATGAGGAATTTGAAAACTGAAGAAGTTAAAAAACTTACCTATAATTTAAAAGCCAGCAAATTCGTAGTGGAGGTTGAATTAGAAAAAAAAGGAAGGGAGGGGGGTGGGGAAGAAAAAGAATTTTCTTACTAAACTGCTAGGGATGTAGCTTAGTGGTACTTAGCATGTGCCAAGGCCCTGGGTTCAATTCTCCAGCACAAAAATACAACCAAAAAGTATTTCTAATGCTATCCAAATGTGATGTGGGGCTTGGGTAGTAGCTCAGTGGTAGACTCTTGCCTAACATGTATGAGGCACTGAGTTCATTTCTTAGCATTGCATATAAATAAATTAATTAATTAAATAAAGGTCCATCAACAACTAAAAAAATATTTTTTTAAATGTGATATATATCCGGGTGTGGTGGCGCAGGCCTGTAATCCCAGCGGCTCAGGAGGCTGAGTGAGTAGGATCACAAATTCAAAGTCAGCCTCAGCAAAAGCGAGGCACTAAGCAATTCAGTGAGACCCTGTCTCTAAATAAAATACAAAATAGGGCTCAGTGGTCAAGTGTCCCTGAGTTCAATCCCTGGTACCAAGAAAAAAAAAAGTGATATGTATTTCTAAAATTTTAGCAAACTTCTAAAAACTATTCAAGCTGGGCACCGTAGCACTTGCCTATAATCCCAGTGACTTGAGAGGCTGAGGCAGGAGGATCACAAGCAAAAAAAAAAAGGACTGGGGATGTTGCTCAGTAGTAAAATGCCTCTTGGTTAAATCCCCAGAACCATAAATAAATAAATAAATACATACATACATACCATTCAAGCTATATCAGAACCACCATGAAGTGGTGGTTAATAATTAGAAGATAGTGTCTAATTATTAACCAAGACAGATATACTGTGAAACTAATGAAGATTCAGTATCCTATAGGATCCCTAATACACCCTGGAGGGGCCCTAGAAATGTTTGGGTTTTTTTAACCGGGTT